AGTTTTTTTTTTTTTTTTTTTTTTTTGAACCAAGTTGAGTCATGTAAAGGGAAAAGTTTTAATTTCTCTTGTGCTATTAGTGGATGTGGTCTTATACTATTTTTTCCTTTTTCCTAGTCTATATGAATGAAGGAAGCCACTTTTTTCCTTTCCCATATATATATAGTTGCCTTTTTTTAAAAAAAGAGATTTTAAGTTTTGTTTTCGAGGTGTTCCTTTAAATTCATAAAATCCAAGATGAACAATTTAGGCCTAGTAGGTCAAATAAGAAACATTTGGTATCATGGTGAACAGAGAATAGGGGTCTGAGATAGTAAGCAAGTGTAGGTCCAGCAATCATCTCCTGGCTTGTCCTGTCAAAGGAAGGGACTGGAAGTGAGCTCTGGGAGGAGCCTGGGCCCTAGACTTGAGTGTCCAACTTTTGCTGTTTAGCAGCATTGTGACTTTGATGCATTGCACACAGAGCACAGAGGTATGTCGTTATCTGTAAGATGAGGACAGTGGGCCTGCATCTTGGATAGTGATCGGGATGATGCCTCTTGCCTGCAGCGCTGGTTGGGTATCAGCCACAGGCAGTGCTGGGTTGATGTGGCTGTTCTGCAGGGATGCCCCATGGGTGTTCTTGACTATCCATTACTGAACGCCCACCATGTGCTGACTCTGAGGTTGATCTGAAGTGTGGGATGAGAGAGGTGAGCCAGAAAAGGGAGTCTGTCAGATGGGCTAACCTGAGCGGGAAATGGTGTGGTACGTGGAAGTAGGGTAAAGATGTTTGGAGCTTGGGAGCTATGTTGGGGACAATGTGAAATCAGATGAGATGAACAGGCTTAAAGGAGAATATAAATTAATAGGTTAAAAAGATAACTTTTCCTTTCTCAAATTGATGAGTCACTTTGGAACTTCCTGAGAGATTTAAAAACCTGCAAAAAATATAAAATGTGATTAATATTTAATTTGACTTTTATTTGAATGATTTAAAATTGGTCTTTTCAAATATTTTTGTTTGGAAACATTGTAATTTGTTTTATCTTTGTCTTTTTCTTTTCCCAAAGGTGGCAGAAAGGGCACTCTATTATTGGAATAATGAGTACATCATGAGTTTAATAGAAGAAAACTCTAATGTCATCCTTCCCATCATGTTTTCCAGTCTTTATAGGATTTCAAAAGAACATTGGAATCCGTAGGTTTTCAGTTTCCTTCCTTTCTTTCCTTTCCCCCTCTTCTGTCTCATCTTCCTCTCTCTGTCTCCTCTTCCTCTCCTTCTTTGGAGTTTTCTCCCTTCTTCTTTCCTCTTTTGTTTAATATAATGTCTTGAATAGTATGTGCCAGATGCTGTGTTTTTAAAATATCTCTTTCCTTGAGAGGCATCTTGACCTGTGTGTGACAGTAGCAAAGGCGTTTTGGGATGTGCTGGAGCCAAGAGGATACTGATGGAGTGTTGGTGCTCAAATTGAATCTTAAAGGAATTTGGCAGATAGTTGGAATGGGGAAAACCCTTTCAGACAGGGGTCCATACACCACATAAAAGATACAAAACTGTAAAAAGTACCTCAGTTCTGTGACCTGCGAGGTAGGAAGGGTAAAGGCACAAGGTGTTTGGGTGAGGGTGCTGGAATGTGAGGTTAGAAAAGGGAGTGAAGTCCACATGACTCTTCATGAGGTGGGTGACGAGGAAATACTGAAGGGTTAGGAGGAGGGCAATGGTCTGGACAGATTTGTATTTTATAGCAATGTTCATTTCCTACCAATAACTCACTCATTAAACAAATTCTGTAGGAGAAAAGTTTAAAATATTAAAGAAGTTTATCCAGTCCTATGAAAGTTAAAGCATTCTATATTTGAATGGCCTTACAAATCTCTCTATGGAGTTCAAGGAAATTTTATGTGGCTTTAAAGAATTAGTAGATGTAATTCAGTATATCCTAATATGTTTATCTTTAAAATTTTTGCATGTAATTGTAAAATATCAAGTTTCTTGCTTTTCAAACTTGCCAAATTTTATTAATAGAACTTTGAAGAAAGTAGTAAACAGTGAAGTCCCATTATACAGGTAGTTTCTTGAGGACCTAGAGAGTAGCTCCAGGGATGTCTGTAACAGCTCAGTATCCTGTATTTGGTGCTTTTCCATTGCTGTCTTTGTGAAGAAGGTCATTCTGGAGCCTTAATAGAAGAGAATTTAAGTTTTCCTTTTAATAGACACGGGGCAAATTTACATAGTAGGTACACTTTTTAGTAAGTGTTTTAAAAACATCAAACTCCTGGTTTATGTAATAAATGGCTTAATTTTTACCAATGTATTGGAAGCACATTTGTTGCAAAATGGAAGCAATGTTGTATAGTTTTGCACAGGGCAAAGCTATTTAAACTCTAGTCTGAGAATGTCAATCCCTCCCATGCTTATTTTGCCCAAGAGCTTTTTATTCCACTTGATAAAAGTGGCTAAGAGCACCCATCACCAGCTTGCCGGTTACCAGCATTACTGCTGGGTCAGCAAAGGGACTAGGCAGGAGTGGATGGGCTGATACAAGACACAGCTAGAGAAGTAGCTCATTTACATTGCCCGCCTCCAGGGCTTCATATGTATCTTTGAGTATGAATAACTTTAGCATATATGTCATTTATTTCCATGAGAACAGCTTCTGATTTTGAATTATGTATATTATTTTAAAAGCAAAAGCAAAATTTTATGAAAATTTAGGTGTATAAAGTTGATCCTACCACAGGTGCTTTTTTTTTTTTTAAAGGTTGTAGTTGCTTTATTTTTATACTTTTTGTTAGATGTAGTTATCAGGTGGCCATAGGCAAGTCTGTTCTGGTTACAATAAGGGCAAAATTAGATTTTTTTTTTCCTAATTTCTTCAGAAAAATCTCAAACAAAGCATTTAAATCTCCTGATACAGAAATGAACTGTAGGCTATTTCCCTTTGGCCAACCTACAAAGGGATGGAAACAGTTTGCAAAGGAGGAACTCATTCTGACGAAGTTGTGCTTTTGTCTTTACCATTCAGCCTCCTATTATGTAAGACTAACCAACACGCTTCCTTTTCTTGCTTCACAGGGCTATTGTGGCGTTAGTGTACAATGTGTTGAAGGCATTTATGGAAATGAACAGCACCATGTTTGACGAGCTGACAGCCACATACAAGTCAGATCGTCAGCGGTAACTTTTTAAAGCTTTTTGTCTGCCGTGCATTAAAGCTGTTGATTTCTTATTCTTTGCTGAAGTTGCCTAGTTGTACCCTAAATCATAAGCCTCACAATTTTGTTTACATCTTCATTTTTGTGTGCTCATTAGCTTTGTCTTTACCAGTGTGCCACCGAGTAAGAAAGCTTTGTGATGGTGTCATTTTGATAAAGCTTGCTTTCCTCCCTTCCTTTATTTCAGTTCTGCCTCAGGGTTAAGATCCTGGCACCTAACTGGTTGTTCAAGCCCACTTCAGGAGACCACCAGGAGTCGTTCCCATTGGACTAGAATTGGCTCATGTACTTCACTCCAGCAGTGAGATGGATCAGTCCTATTTGTCTGACTCTTGGGCACAAGAACTTACTTTCTATTCTAGGACACCACAAATTCATTACAATTTAAAGGACAGTGAAAGTAATATAGAGGTTGATAGTCTGGTATAGATAAATCTTAAAATGTTTAAGACTATTAACAGAGCAAAACCCAAAGGAACTGGCTACAATAAATGTGATGGTTTACCTTTCTTGATTTTACCTTTATGATTCTTCGATTTTCTTATTTCTTGTCCAATATGTCCAAAACACGTACATGGAGAGAGGTGAGACCACAAAGCCTGTGGTAGTTGAGCCTCTGGTGTGGCTCCAGTCACCTAAATGCAAATGTTGGCATGGTAGATCATAAAACCGTGGACCTTAGAGAATCCTGGGGGTACACACAGTTATGCCCACGAGCTTGCTGAAGCTCCTGCACAAAGCTTTGTGATTTCCTTGCTTCTTTGCTTTGTCTGACTTTGAATGTGTTACTTGTGTTTTACCTATAAAAAGAGCAATGAGGAGAAAGGCCATTGTAGGGATGTGTGTATATACTGGGGTTTGAACTCAGGGCCCTGTGCTTGCTAGGCAGGCACTCTACCACATGAGCCACACTCCTAGCCTGCAGGGATATCTTTTTAAGTTACCAGGGATGTGGTTGATAAGAAATAACTTAACTATAGGCTATGGAAGTAGTTAGCTGTAGACCAAAAGAGGGAGATTTTTTTAAACCACAATATTGGGATAAATATCAATTATGGGATGTTCTGTGCCACATTTGTAGCGTACATATTAGGTTTTAATCCACTATGTTAGCAGTTATTACAAATCACTAAATATATAATAATCCTCCTTACCCCAAACTTAAAATTTTAAAAAAATGTTATATAATAAAAACTTGAAGCTGGAAGACATATTTGAATACCATAATGCAGTATTAAAGAGCGTGTAACATTCAGAACTATAAAAAGCTCATTATTATCCTAGTTGAACAAAGATTGAATCTGTAGAATCCCATCAAGAATTTTGAAGGGGCTGGGAGGGTGACTCGGTGATAGTGTATATCTATTATACATAAGACCCTGTGTGCAATTCCTAGCACTGAATTAAAAAAAAAAAGACCTTATTTCTAAAATCAATTGGTTCATATTTAATAAACTTCAGCAGTGAAATTGTTTTCTGATCATTTATCATCTAGACTAAATAGACCAGTCAGGAGTAGAAAAAACTGTGATGTTGATCCTGATATTATGGGATATTAAAACAATTTATACAGCTGGTAGAGGTGCTCAAGTGGTAGAGCACCTGCCCAGGAAGTGAAAGGCCCTGAGTTCAAACCCCAGTACCAAACACACACAAAAAATGTTATAGTGAGTAGGCTACTCAATGAGAGAAACTTTTTTATTAAAGCAAGGGAAATACTTTGTTGAATACTTTGTGAATACTTTGTAGAAGGGTTAACTGAATGATGGAAGCATTGGTTTCTCCACAGATAGGAGAATAGGAAAAGAATGCAGAGATTTATTTGGTACTGTCAGAGAAGAACTAAATATGAGATTTTACTTCTGAATGGCAAGAAGCTTATGGTTTCCATTCAGAGCAGATTTTTAAGTATTACAAATCCAAAAATGGTGGGTAGAATAAATATTTAGCACTGTTAGACACCTATGCCAACAATACTGCTACGTAAAATTAAAGTTGGAAGAGTATTGATAGTATCCACAGCATGACAGCAAGCTTAAGTTTTAAAATTCACCACCTATAGGGAGAGAGAAAGTGAGAAGGAGTAAGAGTGACAGTATGTGTATCTGAAATACTTAGAATTTTTAAAGATAAAGTTGTCAGTATGAAAGCTGTATGTTAAGTCATCACAAATTTCATCTGAAGGAAAGCCCTGCAGGACAAACTGCATTGAATACAATAAGACTCATGATAAAAACATGAGTAGTTTGCTTCAGTAATAAGATGATGAGTGTTAAGATAATTCAACACTTAATTTAAACTGTAAGTTAAGGCAACATGCACCTGACATGTTGAGCTGATTTTCAGTTGAATAAAGTTCCTAAGCCCTTGCTTACCATCCCCTTCTCCACCCCAATAAAAAGGTCAGATATATTAAAACTCAACAGATCTTAGAGAAGTGAGTCATATGCAGTCAAATCAGTGTGCTCATGGAACAGTTATTTAGACTAACATCTCCAAACTGTAGAGGTAAACAAAAAGCAACAATTTGCCTAACATTGAAAAATTTGGAATCCGTGATGATTAGAGGATTATGTAATCTTGCCTCTTACTGCCCTGTAAAGACAGTTTTTCTGGATTAAAGTTACCACATTGGTAAATGTTTGAAAACTATTATGACCATTGAAATTCCTGTTGTGCAGATTACATTTAAGAGAGCTAACTATGGGAAATAAGGCCTAAGTTGCCAAAATAAGAATTATGGAATGAAGGTATTAATTGCCATATTGTGTAATTCAACATTCCTGCAAGACTAATGGACTGAGAATATAAAATTACTTACATTTGGGGTGGGTCAGAGTAGAAAGATTAATTTCTATTACTGTAGATGTTAAGACTTTTCAAAAAATATTGATGATTGATATAAAAGGTATGAGACATTGGAATTACATACAAATTTCACTTAACCAATGTAGATTTTGCTGAGGAAAAATTACACTGTGGCTGAAGTTGAATCTTTACTAAGTGAGGTATTACAGGGACCAGTGCCCCCATGCCTGAACTGGGAAAGCCCTGTGTTCAGGAATTACTTGAATTCCTGTTTTATCATGTTATCTGGGCTTGCTTTTTAAGTGGGTCATTATAACATGAGGGATAGTGCAGTGAAATATTTCTAGTAAATGTGAATTAGTGCAGTGAATTATTTTAAATATGAATTTATTTAATTTATAATATAGTCATATTCTTTAATTATATACTTCCCACTTGGTTAATATTAAAACATCCTTTTTTTTAATACAGAAATTTCAAAATGTTTTCTGCAAAATAAAATTAGTTGACCCTATAATAATGCTAATGTTATCTAATAATGCTAATAAAAACAAAATTCCATCCAGACCATTAATTAAAACTGAAATCACAAGTTTTCAGAAGCTGCCAGAGAGTTTCAGTATACATGGTGTAGGAAAAACAGATCTGAATGTAGGAGAAAGATGTATTTTCTTAACTTTGTATCAATGTTATTTCTAGCATCCTTTTTGAGAGTTTATTTGGAGATAAAGAGAAAATTAAGTTCAATAAGGCCCCAAGTAAAATCACAAAGTGTCCTTGGTTTGGGAACTAATACATATAAATCATCCCCATTTTTATTTCTCAGTAATCTTGAAGTCAGTTTTCTGTATTAAGCTAAGTATAAAGGAATATTAATTTGAAATCTTAAAATAGTCTTGTCTTCTTCTCAGTTCATTAATACTGTTTCATACCTATATTAAGTGACAAAAAAAGAAACTCAAAAGGGAGAAAAAGAAGACCCCAAAGGCTCAGTGCCAAACTTCTAAAACATACACAGGGAAAAGTATGTCAGGGGTCAGTTATTATTGGATAGTCTCTCTCAACCTTCTTGGTTGCTTACATTGTTTTCTTTTTCTTCCTCAGTGAGAAGAAGAAGGAAAAAGAGCGTGAAGAATTATGGAAAAAATTGGAGGATCTGGAATTAAAGAGAGGTCTTAGACGTGATGGGATAATTCCAACTTAACAAAACTGCAGCAGCAACATTACTAACCTGTGGAGTCACACATTTATGTAGTAGAAGATGGAGCAACAGTTTTCTGTATTGTGCAACTTTACAGTAGATTTCACATTTGTTTCATTATTACAACAGCACTGTATATACCTGTCTCTAAGTAAAGGAAAAAAATAAGGACTTCAATCCAAAGTTTGGACAGTAGATGGACTTCTCAGAACTTTGCAAACATAATCATTGTTCTAACCCTCTTTAAAACAAAGAAAAAAAGCAGTCTTCAAAGATCTGTTGATGAAATTGCTATGTTAAAATTCCATTATCAGGAGTTCCTTATTTATCACTAGCAGAGAATATGATACAATTTTCAAATGTGAACAATCTTAAATTTAGCTTGTCTTTCTGCTAAGCTGTTAAATGTATTTATAGTAAAGGAAGAAAAAAAAGACTGTCATTTCCTTATAAGTTTGTATAACATCCTCCTCTGGATAACTTGGCTGTAATTTGACATCTTTTCCTTTTGCACATCTTCATGAGTTGAATGTCCACATGGAAAGGGGCCATGAATTACAAAGGCCACTTGTGAGCGTTTTGTCTACTGGGGTGAATATCTTTCCAGGAACCAGGTAGTCCTGGTGAAAA